GAGGCAGTGATCGATGTTTCTAACTCTCTATCCCTCTCTCCCTCTCTCTCTCTCTCTTCCTCTCTGTAAAAAATCAATAAAATACATTTTAAAAAATAAAAATAAAAAAATAAAATAATATAGGAAAATCAGTTTCTAGTGAGAAAGCCCCAGGACAGGAGTGACAATTTATTGCAGGCATTTGTGATAAAAGACAGAAGCTGGTCATTTTTCTTAAGGGAAAACTAGAGTCAGACATGACAAATCCTTTGGTACTGAAAAGTAATATTATTCCCATTTCAAAGGAACCACACATTTTAAAAAATAGACTTGACTTTTTAGAGTAGGTTTAAGTTTTTGGAGGAACAAAAAGGGAGAGTTCCCATGTATCTCCCGCCTCCCCCTATGCAGTCTCCCTCACTGCTCACAGCAGAGGGACGCATGTGTTACCACTGATGAACCTATTTTGGCACACCATTATCATGCAAAGTACACAGTTTACATTATAGTTCATTCTTGTTGTTGTCCATGCTACCGATCTGGGTAAATGTATAACAGTATGGATCCACCAGTGTATTAGTAGTATCATACAGAGTAGTTCCACTACCCTAAAACTCCCCTGTGCTCTGACTATTCGTCTCTCCCAACCTCTGGTAACCATTGACTTTTCTGTCTGTACAGCCTGCCCTTTCCCAGAATGTCATATAATTGAAACCATACAGTATATAGACTTTCAAATTGCCTCCTTTCACTTTGTAATATACAATAAAGCTCCCTTCGTGCCTTTCCGTGGCTTGAGAGCTTGTTTCTTTAGAGCCACACATGCTTCCTACACTTAGAAATGTGGTTTCCATGGTGAGAGGTAGTGCTGGTGTTTTACAAATCAGTAAACCCAATGTATTAGAGTGAAGAAGTCCTGGATTTAGGGACAGCGGTCATAGGTTTAAGTGACAGCCCTGCAAATTACTAGGATGAAGCCTTGGAGAAATAAATCACTTACTCACATCTCTAAGGTGAGTAAAGCTGAACATAAAGAGGCTTAATTGTTTAAAGACACCTGGCTTAAGATAGTGACCAATAGCAGTGCCCCCAAAGGGGTGGTGTCAGAATGACCCAGTCCACTCTATCTTGCAAAATGAAGCTATGAAATAAACAGATAAGAAAAAGGGAGCAGCTATGTTTGAAGGAACGAAAAGAAGACAGATCACAAAGCTGCTTTTGATTCCTAAAATAAACCCAAGTTATACTCATACAGTGGAACAAAGTGCAGCCAATAAAAGTCATCTTTGGGAGTATGAAAGATTTTACTAAGAGGGGATCACTCCCATAAGTAATTATAAGTGGGAAAAACAAGATATAAAGGTGCATACACAGAATTAGGGATAAATCTGTTGACCACACATAGGATCATAAATAAAGGCAGCTAAGGAAATATCCCAAAACACTCAGTGGTGCTTTTCTCTGGGTAATAATTAGAATTGTGCTACCAAGGGTTTCAGCAGAAACAAGATGGAACTCTTCAACTAACTAATTGGAGGAGAGTATGTTATGGAACTATTTGCAAGAGATAGACTAAGGGTAGACCCCATTCCCAGCCTACACCAGTAGGAGTTGGGAGAGGGAATGATTTCCTGAGCCTGTAGAGGGAGAACTATGTTGAAAGGGCTGCTTGACAGGACTGTGCCCTTCACTCAAGGTGCCCAGCCAGATGGCAGCAACCCGAAGGGAAATAAAGGGCCCAACCTCACTCACACCAGCCAAACTCCAGGGGAAGTCAAAGGGTAAGGGGGCCTTTGGGTGCAGGGCAGCCTCCCAGGCACTCAGCAGGGTGCAGAAGGATGGACCCAGAGGATCACAGAGGGTGGTTTAATGTTCTTTTCTTGTGTTTTATTCCGAATTTTCTGTTTTCTCAAGTAGTATTTAGAGCATGTATTTTATAGCTTTAATTTTCTTTTCCTGCTTCATTCGATGTTTATCATTCTTGGCCGGAGGTTGAATAAAAAACAAAATAGGGTGTGGGGGGGGGGGGGGGAGAGAAAAAAAAATTTTAAATAGGAGGAAACATGTGAAATTAGGAAAAGACTAACATGACAGATAACCAGGGGATAGAAAGGACACATTAGGTGGCTACAGAAAACAGATTTCTGAGTGTGTTCCAGCTCCTCACTGTTCTGCACATTAAAGACAAATAGTGACAGAAATAATAGTCATTGCTAAGGGGAGTTTTTAAGGGACTTTCCTGGGTCTGATTTGACAAACACATCAGTCCTGAATGAAAACACCATTTCAGAGTCACCAAGGCCCAGTTCAGCATTCTGAAACCATTTCAACTTCTCTGCCTCTCATCTAAATGCATCTGCTCTAAAACCCCAATTGGTCATTTTTGCAAGTGTACCAAGTAAGGAGAGCCCACATCTAGCAGATCTCATATACGTGACTAGTATAAGCAGATGTCAAAACAAAGAAAGCATTGTCACTGGTGAATTGCATGCAGATAGAATTAGGATTAGGTTTTGTTTTCTGAAAGTTTATAAATTTTTTTTATGTTTAAAAATACAAGAAATCCAACTTGAGGATGAGGTTTTGTGGTCTCTACTTCCTCAGAGCTCAGTTCTGCAAGACTGTTCATTAAAAGTCCCCACTCTGACCCAGCTGGTGTGGCTCAGCAATTGAGCATCAACCCAGGAACCAAGTTTGATTCTGGTCAGGGCACATGGCCAGGATATCAGCTCAATCTATACCCAGTGGGGAGGCCTGCAGGAGGCAGCCAATCCATGATGCTTCTCGCTCCTCTCATCAATGTTTCTATCTTTCTATACTTCTATCTTCTGCTCTCTCAAAAAAAAAAAAAAAAATCAATAAAAACATATTAAAAAAAAAAAAAAAAAAAAAAAAAAAAAAAAAAGGTCCCCACCCTGCATGAAAAGTCCCCAGTCTGCATCCAGGGCACCTATGCTGATCCAGTAGAGGGCAGTGACAGGCCTAGGAGCCTGGCCCTATACAGGGACTCCCCAGTGGAGGCACAGCTCAATATGACTTCATCTGTGCAAAGTGGGCGGGATCACCTGTGTTCATTTCTCCCATCACACTCTAGTGTGCGGTTGTTTCCTTAGTAACCCAGAGGCTGCTGCCAGCCATCATGGAGACAGAAATTATGACCTTCTCCTCAAACTGCAATCCTGAAAACAAAAGCCATAGCACCTCCAGCCTCAGCAACAATCTAATTTATGGCAGAGTTGCCTGGCTATTTATATTAGACCCAAGGCCCTGAGTGAGGCAGGCAGGGGGCTTCTCCATTAAAGGGGCAGCAAGGGAGCTGGTAGGTCCCAAAGCAGATGTCCAAAGCTAATCAAGAAGAAGTCCCAGGGAGAAGAGAATCAATGCTTCTCTTACACAGGCCTGTGGCTCTTTAATTAAACAGACCCCTGACTTGACATTATAGTTAATGCAAGAGAGATGAGCTTGGTTATGAACAAGCACAAGCATGTTTTAACTGCAAAACTTCAAATAAACTATGGAAACGATTAGCATGGATTATCAGCGGGTAGGCACCTCTGGAGATTTCAAGCATCTAGGATTTTCTAAAATAAGCAATTTAATAAAGTTGGGAAAGCACATTGTGCAATAGTTTCTCTAATGCAACATCACCATTCTACTAAGAAAACAACTTAAGTAATTTGCATTGCACCACTTACATGCAATCAAGAGCTAGCCTTCCTTTCAATGGCATATAAAAATAGAAAACATTATACATATTAAAGCTGGGAGAATCTAGATATCACTGTTCCTAGTTTGTTAAGCAATGGAACCCTTTTTTTAAAAAGGTAAATTTTTCTATGCAACCGCAGTATATCTAGAACATATGAAGGAAATATCTTACTGATATAACTTTATTTTATAAGTTCACACTTCTGTTAAATGCTATAAAGTCAGTCTCTAAGAACAAGAACATGTTTGTTTGTTTTTTATGAATGAGATTCAGGATTTATAGATGACTTGCACTTCCATCGATTTTAGGATCTGATTTATTTTCCTATTTTCTCTGCAGCCCCTTCTGAGAGTGATGACAGTGATTTCCACAGATAAACCACTGCCAAGGATAATAAATGTTGTGGGGGGGTTGTTTGTTGGTAACAGTGTTTCACACAACATCAGGATATTCTTCAATTAAATAGAGCAAAAGAGGTTTAATTCAAAAGTTTGCACTAAAATAATATAACATCGATAACATATCAAGAGACTGTGGTCTCCAAAGAAAGAGGTTTTCAGTGATAAAGACAGTTGGCTGTGTTCTTAACAAAAATCAGTTCCTCTTCTTTTTGTCCCTAGGTACATAGCTCAACCACATTTGCCAGCCTTCTTTGCAGCCATTGTCTGAGATCCAGCCAAGGAAATGAGAACAGAACTGATATTCACCAGACTTACTTGTCATCTGCAAACCCACTACAGGCAACCTTCCAATCCTTCTCTCAATAGCCCACTGACCGAAAAGGACTCAGAGGATCCAGAGAGGATGAAAAAAGCCTGGATTCCCAAAGGATGTTCAGAAGGCCACTTGCAAAGCATGAATATCCTTAATAGACTCGGAAGAGCAAGAAATCAACTTTTATTGTGTAAGCAACTAAGGTTTAGAACTTTGTTACGGCAGCTAGCATTATTTACCTTTACTAATATATTGATTAAGGTAAAAAAAAAAAAAAAAAAAAAAAAAAGGAAATGATACTTGAATCGAATGTTTGCAGAACCCCTAAAACATCTATCCAGAAGCCACAATTTGAAAACCAGAGCTTTGATTCAAACTTTATAGAGAGACATACCTTCCTTTGTGCAGAGCAAAGAGAACCCTCTCCCAAAGCTACCAAAAAGTCAGCAGGGCTTTTAGTAACTGGTGAGAACACTACTCTGACAAGGTAATTTCCATTTTTATGCAGTACTGTGAGAAGGTTAAGGTTCTGTTCCCTCCTACCCAAAACCATTATCACCCTGGCTTGCCCACTCTTCATAAATCACAGAAAACTCACATGCTGCATCCACAGTTGGTTCAGGGTATAAAGTAGAGCAAGGTGTCATCTTTCTTCCAATAAATCTCTACAACAGAGGTAAAGGGCGGGATGTAGTAGGGGGACATCTTCTCCACCATTCTGTTCATGGTGAATTAGCCACACGAAGAAGGGAAGCTGTGGAGAGCAAGAAGAGCAGCAAAGTCAGCATCGCATCGGCGATCCAAATTCAATTCCCACACCCACTACTATTTTGGGGGGCTATATTTTTACTTATCATATATACTATAAACATATATGATACATGTTACAAAAATCATTTTCCCCCAAAAATTTAACTGTCAAGAAAGTGAACAGTGTTATAATACAACTTGTGACCCAGTGCATGGATTTGTGCTCATTGAAAGGAAATTAATTAGGAGGTAGCTGGCAGGTCAGGGCTGGGTGAGATAGGCCGGAAGCACCCTGGAGCCAACCTCCTGCGATCCCTCCCCAGCTGGTGGCACCTGGGATGGCGCTGTGGCTCGAAAGGCGTCTGCAGAATGAGCGGAGTCCCTCAGCCTGGACTGTAGGGATTGGACCAAAATCAGCTTTCCAACATCCCCCAAGGGGTCTGGAGTGTGAGAGGGCACTCTGCAAAGTTGCTGTTGTACAGGGTGTGGAATGCAAATGCAAGTGTGCTCTAAACCACATTCAGAGCCAACAGTGCCCCAGCAACAACATATCCCGTGGCCAAAGGTGGGATTGCACAGCCCTGAGAGGAAATGGGCTCCCTCCTTTCTGGTTCCAGAGTGCATCATCCCAGAACTACTGCTGTCAAGTCACTGCAGCTAGGCAGCTCCTGTGTTGAAAGTCTGTCCTCTGGTGTCAGTGCATATCATAGCGACCGGTCAGAAGAGGGAGGGACACTTAGCATATTTACCTTTTATATATATATAGATTGTGCGAGTTCATGTTTTATTTCAAATTGTTTGCTTTTCACACATTTCAAACTATTAATAGTGAAAAGTTACTTAAGGATAATTAAAAATTATCTATTTTCATTATTAACAATAAACAATTCCAACAAGTTCATAAGAATCAGTGATGCCAAATCTTAATATCCAAAAAATTGAGTTTTTGAAGTTCTTATATAAAATATAGCAGTCAGTTTCCATTTACTTATCTCTGTGGCAATGTACATATGCAATCGAATAGGATTCTAGCATTTGTTTTTGGAAGATATTTTTAAGAAACCCTTCGATTTTGTAAGGTTGAACAACTTCCACATCCAGCCAAATCCAAACCAACAGTATACTTAATGGCTTTGGACAACCCTCATTGAGAAATTCTTATGATTTGGGTAGAGTTGCATGTTCCATTAATATTACATAAGATGACAAGAGATATTAACAAGCCAATATCATAATGACAAAGGCAAAAGAAAATACATTCAAATTAGTTGTGACAAAGTTTTTCTACAAATATTTCAGAGGTCATACTTTCAGGAAAACAAGATTTAATATGTATTTATTGGGATTTCACAATATCTATGCTCTAGCTGAAATTTTAATAAGACTAGTCAGAATTAAGTTGAGCATTGCCAATGTGTTCATTCAACATTGAGCACCTACTATGTGCATAGCACTATGCTAACGTTTAAAAAATAGAGTATTAATTCTTTATCAAGCATTATCTTAGTGTGAGGTTTAAAAAAAAACACCACTTTATTGAGGTATTATTGACATATAAAAGCTATCTATAGTATATTTAACATATACAACTTGATGAGTTTAGAGTTATAAAATCCCTGAAGCCATCACATGACATATGCATAAACCTATCTATCAGCTCTAAAACTTTCCTCCTGTGTCCTCTTACTTATTGATTTTGTGGGTATGTGTGTTATAAGAACACTTATTTTACAACCTTTTAGTAAAAATTTAACTATACAATATGGCACTGTTAACTGTGGTCATTATGCTATACAGTCTATCTCTAAGACTTACTCATCTTTTATAACCAAAACTTTGTACCCTTTGACTAATAGCTATTTCCTTCTCTTTATAGCTCCTGGAAATCCCCATTATTAAAAGAATAAACTATGTTTCTAGTACTGACAACTGTTAGCCTACTTTTGCCCTATCTTTTATAAGTGGTCTAACGCAGTCATTTGTCCATCTATGATTGACTAATACTGCAATAAACATGCCACACCCACTTATTACCAGCTACAAGAACTAGCATAAATCGCTAAACCTCGTCTAAAAATTAAAAAAATAGGATAATTGTGAATATTAAATAAGACGAAACATGAAGGTTACGCAGCAAATGTAAGGAAGTGTACAAAATATAAACTATTGTAGTTGTTGGTGAACCTCAAGAGCTTAGATGATGTATAATCAATTGTTTTACCAAGAGGAGATTGTAATGAAATTTTTAAAGCATGAGATATAAGAAGATCTTCTCTTTCTGCTTTAGTGGTTTAGTTTCTTCACACAGGAAAGCTCTAGGAGATGTCCTATAGCTGGTATAGCATTCCATGGTTACAAATAACCAGGCAGCATTGCCAGGTAAAATACAGGACACCAAGTTAAATTTAAATTTCAGATAAACATCAAACAGCATTTGGTAAAATTATGTCCCATTCATTATATATCAGGCATCCTATATTTTCATTTGCTGAATCTGGCAGCTGTCAATAAAATCAATTTTATTAATTTCAGAGAGGAAAGGAGAGAAAAAGAGATAGAAACAGCAATGTTGAGAGAGAATTATTGCAAATCCCCCACTGGGGATTGAGCCCACAACCTGGTATGTGCCCTGACCGTGAATCAAACCGTGACCTCCTGGTTCATAGGTCAATGCTCAACCACTGAGCCACATCGACCAGGCTTCTATCAGTTTCTTACCTCACTTCCCAAAATGGTGGCATTTGTACTCCAAAAAGCAAAGATGAAGAAAAAAGCAAAGTGTGCTTTCTCTTAAAATAAAGGCTCCTCAAAGCTATCATACTACAATTCCACTTGCATCTTATGGTCCAGAACTTAGTCACACGGGCACATATCTGCAAGGAAGCATGGAAAATGTAGTCTTCATTCCTAGCAGTAGTATGCTCACCTAGCAGTTCTATCGCTGTAAAACTAGGAAGAACTTACTATTGCAGAATTCCTAGGCCCTAACAGATGCCTATTATCAAAAGCTTCATTTTGTAAACATCAGTGAAGTTCTCTAAAACAAAGTTCCTTTATCATCACACTTTATTTTTTAAAAGGTTAAAAATAGAATAATGTATGTAAACGTACTTTATTACCAGCTAAGCATTTAAATTTCTTCATAGGCAAGGTCTACAGACAACATCAATAAAGTGTGTAAACTGTAAAGGTAAGGCTTGGGACAGCAGAATTAGAGGTGGTATGGTGGATTGAGAAGGTTCCTTTATGGAGAAACAGGACTTAGCCTTGATGATGGATAGGATTTGAGAAAATGCAGGGTAGTGAGGAGAACAAATATGGGAGGAGAACAACTTAAGTAATGACACAAAATTAGAAACAGGCAGAGTAGTTAAAGAAATGGGGCAAACTAATCTCACTACAAAAGGAACTATTACAGAGAGGATTTCAAGATCCCCATTATGCCACTCAAAGCCCCCACTCCCAGTTTAAAAATGACATTTCTTAATTTTTTTGAACAGCTGGTTTTTAACAAGCTAAAAGACAAATCTCTTTTAATTCTGTAACCTTAGTTGAACTATTTAACAAATATTTATTGATAATTTCTGCTGAACTCAACAATGGGGATATTAAAATTAGTGAGATGTTTGGTCCAGAAAGATGATGTGGTAAATGCATCCTGAACATTACTACTAAAAGCCAACAACAACTCCTAGTCAACAGTGATAACAAAAGCATCTCTCTACATCTCCCAATTTCTTGGGGATGGGAGATGTCTTCAAAAGTGCTTGGATGAAGAAAAGAAGTTTTCTGTGCAAGATAAGAAATCCTCTATCTGGCAAAGTGTCTCAAATTCAAGACATCCTAAGAATTCAGAAGCAGTATTAATAGAGGTTGACCCTCAAAGAAAGAAAGGGTTTTAATACCGAAGTTATTCATTATTTCTTATCACTTATTCATTCTGCCTTTGTCCATCTCAGGAATTGTAAGGAACAGCAAAAAAGACCAACCTATTGGCTAGAAATTCCTGGAAAGTAGGGGGATTCATGAAAATTCTGCTTGGAATTTGTATTTGCTTTTTTGTTTGTTTGTTTGTTGTGATTCTTACATGCCCTGGGCAAAACAGTGTAATAAATGACACTTTGGAATTGAAGAAAAGGTTTTAAGGTCTAGACACCTAAAATATGTTATTCTAAATCACATTGACTCATCTAATTCTTAGGAGCTAACTATTTATTATAGAACTGCTGAATTGGAAGTTATATCTTATGTCCTCTCAATTTTTCCAGAGTTGGTAAGCTAAAGTCCTTCTCTCCAAACCTCTCTCGTGGATTGTAAACTAGATCAGTTAAGGGACTAGGAGTCCATATTAACTCGGGTTTAATATCTCTGACCACTGGTGGGGCTTAGCTTTAAGCACAGTTGCTACAGGCAACATTACTAACAATTTACCAAGATTAAAATAGGGTCTATCAGTTATACAATAATAGTAAGCCCACAATAAATGTTAGCTCTGTGCCAGGAGCTCTTTTGATGCACTATGATCTACAGATGAAAGACCTGACACCCAGGGAAATTAAAGGAACCACTATTTAAACATCACCACCAGTATCTGTGTTTCCTATAGACATGGATGAGGTACTATTGTAATAAGGACATGACCCCGAATCAGTTCAAAAACTCAACACAAATTCCATTATGATAGAATGAGCACAAGTTAATCTGGCAATCTATAAAATTCACCTTAATTCAATGCCAAAATTTTCCCCTATGATTATGTTGTAACAAAAGAAGCATATTGGCATCATAGTCTCATAACAAATTAATAGTCCTACAGCAAGAATGATGTAATCAATGCTGAAATACAACAAATTAAAAATACATTAAGTTTCTCTTATATTCTTTTGAACTAAATTAGCTGTAAAATTCACAATATTGTTTTTAAACTTTCACTCAGAAGGAAACCTGTAAGTAGGTCCTATTTTCAGAGGATGTCTTATTTTCAGGGAAACACGGTATATATCT